TTGAATTCGCTTGAGCTACAACTGAGCTACATTAATTTACTCTGGACTTTTGGGATGCTTACATGCTTTTCTGTTGGATCTATCATACAGCCACAAACAAAATACAAAGCATGGACAGTGCCTTAAACTGTCATAGCTGGTATTAAGTTGTTCATCTGAACTGAAGAATGTGCTACAGTTTAAGGTGAAGCCCATGCATATCTCCAGCTGTTTGCAGTTTCAGAGTAGCCCAGCACTTGGACACTGAGGGATTAAAGGGGAGAGAGATCAGTGCCTGAGAAGAAATGTCAGTTCCTCAGGTGCTAAGAGCCTTTATTCAGAAATGGGGTCCAAAACAAGCCAACAAGGAAAGATGCTTATCAATAGTTACATCTCTGGAGGTGCTGGAATAGCCATTATGTTGCATGTCCCCAAGGAATGGGTGAGTGAACACACACCCATCCCACTGCATTTCCCTTTGAGTTTAAAAATTCTGGATTAGCTTGCTTCTGATTCTCTTCTAATTAATTCCAAGTTTGCCAAAGTAAGGCTTGTATGGCAAGTTCTCTAATTTTAATGGTGATGATGGTTTGTCAATATGTATTAAAGTTTTGCACATTTTTTTTCCATCAAAGTAAATCTTTCCAAGCTCTTGTGATGAATAGGGAGTAGTATATATATATATTTGCAATTTTGTATTTTGCTCAACAGGGTACCTTTTGGTGTGACACTGCAGTCAGTGTGCAGTGATGTGTACATAAGTGAGAGATTTTCTGTAGTCTCTGAAGCATATTTGGAAAGTTGTATTTAAAGATTAGCTTATTAATGTTGTGTTTCGGGGACATGTAGGTAATTACTTTTACAGCTCTAGATGGGTGATGCTGTCTCGTGAATGCAAAATAGGTTTCTTCACTCTGGCTGAATCAGCTCTTTGTGGTTTTCGATGATATTAACCAGTGACTTACAAATGTGCCAGTGATGGGCAGGTTTTGCATTCACTGTTCCTCTGTAAAAGCACAGGTCTTTTTCCCCAGTGCTCACAGGAGGACTTCTGCAGGCCAACTGATAAGACTCCCTCCTGTGCAGGTAGATGCAATGTAATGAAATGGATGTGTGTGCTGGGCTTTGTAAATAAAATGAGATTGACCCCAGCCATTATCTCATTTATCTCATTTACATTGTAAAATCAGTATCTACACTATTGATTAGGGCGTAATTACTTAATTATGAACAGGAAAATGTAGAGTTATGTAGGGCTTGAGCACAGCCAGCTGTACTGCTGAAAAAGCTAATAAAAACAATCCAAGGGCATGAGCAGATAGATATCACTTTATTAAAGAACAAAGCAGACATATATAAAGTGTGGAAATGCCTAATCAAGGTTTCTTGCTGTGAAGATGTAACTGACCTGTATTCTGTACTTCTACGAGTGCAAAATGTTTTTGTTTATTATTTTTTAACTTCCTGACATTACTACTTCAGAATTCAGCTTTCTTCTTCACACCCCATTTTCTCGGTATATAGTAGGCATATATCTATCCTCATTAATTGCTGGAATGGGGAACACGGTGATTTCTAATTTTGATGCATAAAGTAATTTCAGGCTTGTTATTACATTGATAGCAAGCAATTACCTGTCAGTTAGAGGTAATTTAGGAGGTTAGGTTAGCTTGTCTTTGTGTGGAGCTCTGTTTTTATTTGCACAAATTTTTCGGTACAGCAGCTAGCCAGGCCACTGAATAAGGCTGTGCACTTAATTGCATTTGTAAATCATTTGTGTAACCACAAAAAAAAGTTATCCACAAATAGTAGCAAGGTAAAATATTTGCTAGTTTAAGGACTGTTTTGGAGGTGTGACCTTGAATGCACAAGGGTAAAAATTTCAAAAGCCTTTAATATGGAGGAAGTGGCTTCTTTCCCTCTTTCCCCCCCCATAGTCCAACAGTTTTACTTGTCCTATTAAGCCATCTTGAGGATGGAAGCGGATGGCACTTGTAAATGATGGTGCTGTGACTCCTTTGCTCTGTAAATGCCTGGATTGTGATTGATCTGTGAGTGCATTTACAGAAAGGCTGCAAGACTGTCAGCATGACACCTTTTGTGACCCAACAAATTCATTCTCTATAATTAAGTTGAAAGTGCTCCATATTTTGTGTCGCTTTCTTATTTTCTGAATCTGACAGTGCGTTTTCTGTCATTTTTATGTTGCTAGACAAAAGAACACAAGTAATAGTATACACTTCAGGGATTAATCTCGTTTTACTAGTGCCATTTTAACCTAGGTATAAGGTTTTCTTTTGGAATTAGGAATTAAGAATGCCAATTTTGTTTAATCCACCGTGATGTGTGTAAACTTCACATTTTGTCCCCAGTCAGTCTCAGCAGGCAAGAGAATTGCCAGACAGCTAGGGCATCATCTTTAACCAAGGTGCAGTATGTATTCATCCATTTTCCCAGCATCACGCTCTGGGAATTGCAGAATCAGTGAATTTGTGTTCCACAATACAGAACTTATATTCCCATAAAAAGCACTAGGAAGGAAGCATTTAAAAATACTTGTTATAGTTTCATTTTTATCACCATGCAGCTTTTTATGTTTTGATATGTGAAAATGCGCTTTTGTTATTAGTGTTTTCTCAGCTGTGCAGATGCAGATAGACGCTATTAGTAATCTGAAAAGTTTCAGATAGATATTTTTAACTCATTCTAGGAAAATGCAATTTTTCTTCTGCCAGTCTAAGCACTTTGAAGTGCTAAAAATTAATGACAATAAATATTAAAAACATTCAGCTTTAGAATGGTTCCTCGAGATGTGTATTTAATTTCACAATGTTCTGGTTATTTCAACCCAGCCTTGCAAATTCCCCCAGCACACTTCTGAAACGTGGCTGAAGGTGCAGTCAGGAAGTATCACATTCTAGATGCAGAATGGAAAAGATACAAGACAAGATGCCAAAATGTCATTTTAAAGGATAAATATTTCTTTTGAACATAGAAACACTTGTGTTCATAGACACTTCAGAAAAAAAGGTCTAAATCAACACTGTTTAAATCAGATGTAGATTTTAGTATTAAGCTCTGAAAATACCATAAATCACTCAAAAAGACTGTGAAGCTTTATTTTGTGTTAGAGGATCCCAAAGAGTTTACAAGAAGGGAGTTCTGATAAGCACTGCTCAAATGCAAGCACTTACATGCATAAGATTCCAGATACAGAAATAGGTTAGTAAAAATATATTCCTTTACAGAGGAGAACAATGAGGCTCAAAGGAGGTTTAATCTTTTGCTGAAGGTCACATATGCTGTTGGGATGTAGGAGAGTAACCTCTCATCTCCCACTCTCAATCTTTTTATTATTTTAATATGCCTTTCAGAAGAAATAAAACTGCGTATATACCTGATTTTAAGTAATGTATTTTTATGTTAGAACTCTTCTATCTTTAAAAATTGAGAATGGTTTTCAGTTTTAAGTGTTTTCTTTGTACTGGAGTTAGATGGTGTCATTGCTAAACTATCCTAAGTATATGGATTGTAATATGGTATATCTTGGGGTTTTTTTAAAAATACCAAAATCATGTCAATCCAGTGTTGCATTTCTGTGGATAGTCAGATTATTGCTTTTAATTTCTATTTAGCAGAATACAGTACATGCCATGGCCTTACCAGAGCTCACATCTTACATCTAATGCTGCAGACAGAAGGCAAGCACAGCCCTGGCAGTGAGGACAAAAGTATTTACTTAGGTTAAACAATCACAATCAGAAAACAGTTAGTTCTTTTTATTTGTAGACTAATCCTTGGAGAAAAGTCATATGAGCATTTTCTTCTGTTAATACAGCAATACATTCTGTTAGTTGAATCCTCTTGCTGCAATGCACATTGTGTTCTGTTGATAAATTATATCCCTCTGTTTGATCTGATGATGCCTATACCGTGCAATTATTGCAACTTTTGGACATTTTTGTGTTAGTATGTACTGTAGAGGAGACAATGAGTGTCCAGGGAAGCAGAGAAAGAGAGTGTAGGGGATTTCTTAGAAAATTTGACTTTTAAGCATTTGTTCTTTCCTATTTTTGAATCATTTATATTGGCTTTAATTAAGAGTTTAAGAGCATTTATTTAAGAGATTATTTTAAGTTCAATTTGAAAAAGGCTTTCCTTCTCATACAAAGGAATACAGGGGATATGCAAGTAAACTGAAGTTTAATAGGGTGTGTGAAAACCTCTGTTAGTTCCTTTGAAAATTCTTTTTGAGCATATTATTGTACTGATTTAAAAATCCTTTCATAAAGCACTTGTTATACTGTAGCATTTCTTCAATGATGGTGTATTAAGAGTAGGTTAACAATATGTTTTGAGCTTTTTATGTGGATCATGTGAAGTACAAAACAGTGATGAAAGGTGTATTAAAGAAGAACGTAAAATTGTTTGTACACAGGGCAGTTTTATAAGCAAAAGATCACAGTGAAATCCTTCAAAATGAATATTTTTCAGAAGATTCAAAGTGAATCAGAAAATATTTTTTGCATTTGTTTATAAACCACATAGTCCTGGTGTAAAAAATATAATTTGTAGCTGTAAATTATACTTGAGTTGTTGAATATGCGAGTGATTATTTCACAAAGTTTTCCTTGAAAAAGTACATGTGCAAAATGTGGTCTCAAAACCATGAAAACTCAATACTGTCAGCATTTAAAAGCTCCGAAATTTTTAAAAGAAATGGCAGTGGATGGCATTGGAGTATCTAAAATGTGAGCAATTAATTTGCAAGTCTTTGAAATATTGTCATTTATATAAGATGATGATAAAGGTGATACATGAGTGTCTGCATCAGAATATTCCAAATTAAGCAGAGCCTACTTGAAGTGATTGTGTTTAAAAATATCCGTTATAGAAAATTGATTTTCTTTATCATGATAATGGAGCAGGAAATCTTGTGCTGAGAATTGCAGGGAAGCGCAATCTAAAATAGTATAGAAGTACCATTTAAGATAAACATATATTTTGTTTTTCTGCTGCAGGTGTGATGAGTGCAGGCTTTGCTACCATTTTGGCTGTCTAGACCCTCCCTTAAAAAAGTCTCCTAAACAGACTGGCTATGGATGGATTTGTCAGGAATGTGACTCTACATCCTCCAAAGTAAGTTAATTCATCCTGAGAATAGTTGAAGTATTCTGGTTTTAGGAGTTGTACTGAGCATCTGAAGCTTTTGTTGAAATACTGTGCGTAGGTCTGCTCTGAAAAATAGTAGAAGGTCATCAAATAAAGATTTCAGATTCTCTGTGAAACTGATAAAAAACAGAATGTATGCAAAATGGAAATACTCTGAATCAATAAAGAGAATTTTATTATCCCAGTTAAATGCTTGCTTTTCACATTTTCTTCTCTCTGAGAAAGGTGTGAATATGGAAATGGTATCAGCATTGGTAATATTATTGACAAGTGAAAGTGTTTCAGGAGTATTACAGAATACAAACCTCTAAGGACAGAGGTAGAAAATGTGTGTTTTCTAAACAAATGAAGATGATTTGAATTACTAAACCTGTTTCTTTCACTGAAAATTCATATGAAGGTTGTTAATACTTTATATTGATTGGTATGCCTTGATCAAATATAACATTGTAAAACCGGAATTACATTTTTGACATGGATTAACTTTAATAGTATTGAAAGTAATAGTATTCTTCTGTAGTAGTGGCTTTTCAAAAAATAAAGATTTTGATTCCCTGTTTGTCTGCACAGAAGCTTCTTTAGTACTGGCATTCTTTTCTATCATCACCATAACCTCTAAAGAGACACTTTCCAATTGATGTTCAAAATTGGATTTATAAATGCATCTGATACCTCAGTGTAAAAATAAGAGAACATTCTAAAAGTCTTTAAAATTTTACAAGTTACTCTGCCACTTCCTTTGCATTTCTCAGAACCTTTTAATGAGTAGGGAAGTGCTTCAGTATTGGGATACCCAGGGACACAGCTGTGCAGAGTTGTTGTCATAAGTCATCTGTTAGCATATGTGGATACTTAAACTCTTTCATGATGTTACTCTTAAGACTGGCAAATGCAAAATGTTTCGAGAGAGGTATCATTTTATGGCTCACTAGTGTCCCTTTCCAACTGGAAAATACGTTACTTGGCTTCCCCGTGGGGCATTAATCAAATTGTTCTTCTGTAAGGAGATATGAAGACAGACATCGGAAATTAGCTGTCCACCAGAGTTTGGACATTAAGCAATCTTTCTTGAGTGCCACTTACATGCAAGAGACAAACCAAGAGTGAATTAAAATTGTTATTGAGTTTCTGTCACCTGCTTAAACTGAAATGCAGTGTTGACAACATAAGTCAAAATCTCCCATTTCCTGTATTATTCTGAGTAAACAAAAAAATCCCAGGGTATATAATTTCTAATTGTGTTTTCCTGGGGATTAGCACACATTAGTGTTCCATTTAAAACCTTTTAAATACTTTGTCCTGTAAATTAAGTACAATGGACTTGGCTTAATGCAAGGTGTGTATTAGTTTTAAGGTGTGTTGAAAAATGTACTGTTTTTAAGAGTAAACAAATTTTATCATTAGAATGATTATATATTTTGTGTTATCGTAGTGATTATTGCAGATTTTAAAAATGCTTGTCATTGTGTCTGATTTTCATTCATAAAGTTTTTTAATGAGTAAATTTAAATAAAGTCTCTTGCGCTTTCAAGCACAGGCAATTTGAATTGTATTTGAGTGAATATGTTATGAATATGAAAGATACTGAAAAATTGTCTTATGGGGACTCCTTGTGGTTTTGTTTAGTCATTTTCCCATAGCTTTTCCACAGAGCTGTGCAGAGAAATTTCTCTGAAAGAGCTGTATTGCCCTCTATGTTCTCAAAAGTCTTTTTTTGGTAGCTTTTTTCTGTCATATACTACATTGCGTAACAAATTCAAAAAATATGGTGTTGAGTTAAACTCCTTGCATAGTTTAGAAGAATTCTAAGAGGATTGGGGCTTTGCTTGTGTCCTTCATCATCTTCAAATTCAGTATTCAGTATGGCTTTAGGATTGTGTATCCATGATTTTTCACAGCTAAGAGGAGGTGATATGCTAAGCCTTTTTCTACCCCTCCTTGGAGGTGGTAGTCTCTCAAATGTGTGCTTAGGGCTCAGAAGAGGACAAGCAGTGAGAAGGTTGGGTTGTTTGCTGCACTCTGCCTGACCTGTGGATGAATTGCAAGCCTGAGCTACCAGCCATTTCAATCTCTCTCATCTCACTCACTGCATCCAATTTTTGAAGTGTCACAGGCAAATTTCCTGTATGGATTATAGCAGCAAAATTTGATTGAATTTCCTGCTTTGGTCAAGGAGACTACTGTTTAGTTATCATTCTTTCAACTTTGTTCATCTGTTTTGATCCAATTGAAATCACTGTTACAACATGCATTTTAAAATTTCCCAACAATTTCTTCGTTAGCAATATTGGGTCTTGAAAATAATTGGTAGGTAAATGACACTGTTTCAGTGACAAGAGAGATCATAGTGCATAGCAAATAATGACTGTTAGTTTTTACTTCTAATTATAAATTTCAATTTTAGATGTTCAGGAAAAGTGGCATATTGCTGACAGCAAATAATGCTATTTTATTTTCAGATTTTGCTAAGCACTTGCAGGTGTCGGCAGTGCAAGGGATGTAATTTAGCAGTAATAAACATATGCTTTAAATTGTTATCTAACAAATATTGGACATCCTACTTCCATTTTGTCCATACTAGTCACAGGGCTGTCTGGCAATTGTGTCAGTTTTTCCACCAGCGTAACATATTCCCATATTACCCTGCCTGTCAAATACTTAGACAGACAGTGACTTTGCTGTAGGGCATGAGGGCAACAGCTTCTCTGCTGGTAATAGTTACTGTCACTTCTGTGGAATGGGTGATGCTCACTACTAAGGTCTGACAAGCTCTCTCATCTCAGAAACATTGTAGATTTTGTTACATCACATGAAAGCTGAAGTAAACCTATAAGCTCTCCATTTCTGTAACATTATCCCTCTACCCTGAGAAAGGATTACAGTGTGTGCTCAGGATTGCACAAACAGCACAATAAATCATAATTTTCCTGATCGTCTGAAATAGTGGTATTCAGAATTTATATAGAGCCTTGTTTGAGTTGAATTGAAGAAAAATGAAACAAATAAACCAAATTATTGAATGTTACGACATGATAGCGTTCAGTAGGAATAAATGTGGCCTCACTCTTTTGTTCATTTTGTGCAATAAGGTGTCACTATGAGGCCTCTTAATGATTAGTTGTGGACTCCTTTCTAATGCCTTCCATTGAAAAGGTACTGTTTAAAGTACCTCCTCCAATTTTAAAATTTTGAAAAGGACCAATTCAGCAAGGAGTTTAAGCATACGTCATGGTGCTTACGCTGGCTGTGCTAGTTAGGTTTCTATCTGCTCATCTTTGCATACAGCCTATTCTGCAAAATGCTGCAGAGTGTACATGTCAGGTCATTATTTGAGTGCTGCGAGATCAGCTGCCTCTTCTCTAGACTTCTGTTTAGTTTGCTTTTATTTCATCTTTTTACTGTATTGCATTTTTCAGTGGAAATAAATTGTCAGTATATATGCATAGAATTCTCATCTAAACCCCTCAGGAAATACTTTCTGGAACTACAAATACATGACACAACAACCCTGGCCAGTAATACATTTTTGTACATATTTTGTGTTGGGAAGTCTCTGAGCTGAAGTGGGCGATAGTGTAAGCAGTGTTTTAAAATACTAAGTGTCCATAATGATGCGATCTGGACTATCGCAAATTGAGTAATTTAATAGAAATTTTATTTCTTACTGTCCCTGTGTCTTGGCTTCCCTTTTGCAAAATGTCGATACTGTGCTCTTATTTTAGACATTTGCTGTGGATTTGGATGAGTTGTTCTCTGGAGCTGCCTTTCCTGTTCACTGACTCTAGGAGGGAGCCGAGACAGCTAGTTTAGATTAGCAAGGGTTATAGTTTAGGTGGGATTCTCCTTGCCTGAGTGCACACAGAAGATGATTTAATAACTGTTGCATAGACAGACTTTATCTGGGCATTTACGAAACATTCTGAACAAAACATTTTCAGTATAGCCAATATCCTTAACATTTTATATATACAAGAAAACCCTATATAGCGTATGAGGCACCCAATAGTAGTATATACACATACTTAATCATGTCTTAAATATGTTTTATGTGGGCTATATTTTGTCATTCAAAACAATGTGATTTTAAGTAGTTACATTTAAAACGCAATCCTTAAAGGTGTTTTGAATTAATTCAGACTTGTTTCAGTTGTTTATTCTGACAAAGGGTGACTGCAGCTGCAGACAAACTGTGGCCCTCATTTAGTCAGCTTACATCAGGGAGAGTGTTGCACCTTCTTTTGAGGACAGAACAGAGAAGCAAATGTACTGCCACCATGGCACACAGCATTGCAGCTGAAAAATGATAAAAGAATACTACTAATAAATCTGCTTGCTGTTTCAAGCAGAACGTAATATAATGGGGAAAAAAGTTCAGTTCAGTTTTTATGCAACATTTTTCAGCCAGAATTTAGGAGTATTTCAGTGTAGTTTACAGAAAAACGAATTGCACAGTGCGATTCACTGAGTGCATTTGTCTTCCACAGGTGTGAACATTATGATCTATATTATTATACAGTCATCAAGAATGATAGAGTTAAATATTTTTGTGTGCATTTATATATTTTAAAGTCCATTGAGGGGAGTTTAATTAGCACTTTGTTTTCTTGCGTGACATAGAAAGAAAGATGTTTTATAGCAACTGGGAAATATGTGGTTATTTTGAAAACATTCTTGTCTTCCTAGATTTGTGACAAGCAGTAAAATATTGGCACTGGAATGATTTCCTTTAAATTGAACAAGAGAAAATTAACCAAATCTGTAAGGCCATGTGAAGATTTAGCACAGTTCCTTACACCACTTATACCCTGTTATAAGAAATTCAGTAATGCTAAACCTTGGCACAGAAATGGATTTCACTATCAAGATAGTGAAAAAAAGAGGTGAAATTGCAGTGTATGACAATTCTTATCAGTTGGCTGAAGTATTGCCAAGTGTGTTTTAATATTTGCTCCCCAGGTATCATTAAA